GATGGTTGGTTCACAGTGAATGGGTTAATGTTCAGGCATTCGTCTGATTGCCCAAACCACCAAGGTTTGGTCTGAAAGTTAAGGTCATTCCAGTTGCAAAATTGTCACTAAAACTTATAGCAGCAATATAAACAGGACTTAGCAGAAGCTTGGCAAGCCAGAGCACTGATAATCCTTTATAAAACAGCATTAAGCAGAGACTTTTAATAAAGTATCGTAAAATTTCTAGTTCATAAAAGAGCTATAGCAGGCCTTAATGTCGGATGTAAATAGTTTAGCATGCGGAAAAATCAACATTTCCGTCTGAGTTTTGTTAATTGACAAATCTCATATTCCATAAATCCTGATCTGATAAACGTACAAGGGTTTAAACAAACGTATAAGTAAACAATCTATCTGATGCTTTAACAGAGGTCTCCAAACCTTTTAAAGAAAGGGCCAGTTGACTGGCCTTACGGCTGTAGGGGGGCTGAACCAGGGGCGGACTGACAACTCATGGGGGCCCCCAGGCAATAGGGGATCATGGGGCCCCTGTGTCCTTGCCCAAACTCATAAAAGCCTATGAAAAAGGTATCAGGGGCATCTCATGGGGCTCCCTACTGACCCCGGGCCCTCGGGCAGTGCCCGAGTTTCCAAATGGTCAGTCCGCCCCTGGGCTGAACTATGGCCAGTGTGAGTAGTAATGTCCCAGCATCAGTGAGAGTAAACACTGCTTCACCATTGGTTTTAACAGGAGGAATAGTACGCCGTTGTTGGCTTTAGCAGGAGGAATAGTGAACCATGGATGGTATCAATTGGAGGCATAGTGCCCCACCGATGGTATCAGTGGGAGAAATAGTACCTCGTCATTGGTCTTAGCAGGAAGAATGCTGCCCCATCGATGGTATCAGTGGGAAGAAGAGTGTTCCATTAATGGTGAAAGTGGGAGGAATGGTGCCTCATCATTGGTGTAAATTGGAACAATAGTGTCCCAAGGGCCGGATAGAGGTAAGCAAAGGGCCGCATCTGGCCCCCGAGCCGCAGTTTGGACACCACCGCTTTAACACATAGCAGACAAATTGGTCTCACTTATATATACCCAAACCTGAACTCAGCGGCTAGACTCATCCACCTCACCAACCGCTCCACATCCGCCTCCCCCCTCTGCCAATTCCCTCACTGGCTCCCAGTTGCCCAACGCATCAAATTCAAACTAACTATCGCCTACAAAGCCAGTCACAAGGCCGCCCCAAACTATATAACCGACCTGATACCCAAATACTACCCTACCCATGCCCTCCCCTCCTCACAGGACCTCCTACTCTCTAGCTCCCTGGTCTCCTCCTCCCACGCCCGATTGCAGGACTTCTCCAGGACTTCCCCCATCCTCTGGAACTCCCTACCCCAATCCATCAGACTGTCACCTACCCTCCTCACCTTCAGGCGCACCCTGAAAACCGTCCTCTTCAGGGAAGCCTACCCCAACCTCACCTGACCTCACCTAACAACTAACCTCCTCCACTCCTCCCACCACTCCATCCCCCACAGCCATCTCCTCCTGTACCACCTTCCCCTCCCTCCTAGATTGTAAGCTGGAAAGAGCAGGGCCCTCGAACCCCTCGTGTATTGTACTGTTACTGTCTTGTCTCATGTTCTGTCCCCCTTGCTACTGTACAGCGCTGAGCATACCCTTTAAAATGGTAATTTCCTTCTGTAGTGCAGACAAGCAAACAAACACTCACTGCCGCTCAGACCTCCAGTGTCCTCAAGTAAATATGCAGAAATGGTGCTCATTGAAGGCCCCTGCTTGCCATCCACAGTAGGTAAGTAAAGAGCAGCAGCACACAATCCCTCAATGATGCTTTTTCCAACTGTATTCTTATTTCCCTGTGACCATTTTACAGTCCAACAACCAATATGCAATATTATTGCACAGAAAGAAATTACGTATAAAACTGCAGCACACATCTTCAGAGTCCAAAAAGAGCTTTATTTGTCACAGCTACAAAACATAAAGGATCTCAACACTAATGAGTTTCAACCCAATACGGGCCTTAATCATAACTATGATTAAGGTCTGTATTGGGTGGAAACACGTTAGCATTGAAATATTTTATGTTTAAGTGTGAAAAAAAAAAGTTCTTTTTGGACTCTGAAGAGGTGTGCCGCTGCTATATACGTAATATATATACTTATATACTTAATATATATACTACATTATTATTGCACAGAATGAAATTAAGTATATAGCAGCAGCACACACCTTCAGAGTCCAAAAAGAGCTTTTTTTTGTCACACTTAAAAAAACATAAAATATTTCAATGCTAACATGTTTCCACCCAATACAGACCTTAATCATAGCTATGATTAAGGCCCGTATTAGGTTGAAACTCATTAGTGTTGAGATTCTTTATGTTTTGTAGCTGTGACAAATAAAGCTCTTTTTGGACTCTGAAGATGTGTGCCGCTGCTATATACGTAATATATACTTACAGTATATACTTAATATATATACTACATTTTTTTATTGCACAGAATGAAATGAAGTATATATATATATATATATTAAGTATATAGCAGCAGCACACATCTTCACAGTCCAAAAAGAGCTTTTTTTTGTCACACTTAAAAAACAAAGGATTCCAATGCTAACGTGTTTCCATCCAATACAGGCCTTAATCATAGCTATGATTAAGGCCCGTATTGGGTTGAAACTCATTAGTGCTGAGATCCTTTATGTTTTGTAGCTGTGACAAATAAAGCTCTTTTTGGACTCTGAAGATATGTGCCGCAGTGTTATACTTAATTTCCTTCTGTGCAATAATATTGTATACTTGTTGCTGGACTGTAAAATGGTCACAGGGAAATCGGGATATAGTTGAAAAAGTGTCATAGAGGGATTGTCTCCTGCACTATTTTGACACCCCCTCAGCCCACTCCTCAGACTTTTTTATTGGTTATGTCATTACTATAACCATCTTCATCAGGAAACAGAAAAGATGCAACTGTAGCTTGTGAGCTCTCAATATTCCATCAAAGCTTTGTGCGAAAGCCGTTCTTGAATGGCGGTGTCTTAATTATACTTACAGTGCAGTGAATTAGTCTTCCAAAACAAAGACCAGACAAACCTTTTTAAGTACTTTTCACTTTTTTTTCCACTTTATTGTACTGTTGCTATTCTCAGTGTTTTGTAATAACTTTTTCTGTAACTATGTTTCTTACACCACTTTTTCCTTTCATTAAAACATTATTTCAAAATTGTTCAGCTTTACCTCTAAATGCTCTAAATAGGAATTTAGAAAATTCAACTCGATTTGAAGAATGCTTCTGTATTTTAAACTATGGTACATTCCTGTCATGAGCGACAGTAAGTATCTCAGGCATTCCTTAAGGTGAATTTAAACCTTTATTTTTTTCAAATAACAAACATGTCATAGTTACCTGCTTTTGCACAGAGCAACCTCGATCCTCTTCTGCTGGGGTCCCCTGCCAGCGCTCCTGGATCCTCCCTCCTTTTGAGTACCCCCCAAGCAAGCTGCTAAGAGGGTACTTGTGCAGGCTTGCTGGTCATCCCCCACTGCCTATGTTCATTGACACAGACAGCGGGGCTCTGCTATATCATTATAGGATTTAATTGGATGGTTTGATTTAAATGGCTCCCACTGCTATCAATCTGCCCCATGAGGAGGGAGAGAGAAGGGAGAGCCACTGCTCTTGTGCACAGTGCTGGAACGAGATTGGGCTCAGGTAAGTATAACGGGGTCTGGGGGGGGGATCCTAGATACAGAAGTTTTTTACCCTAATGCAGTGAATTTTATTTTTCTGAATAAAGTATATTACAAAAAAAGAAAAAATGTCAAATGTAATTTAAATTGCTGGTATGATTGCTGCCAGCTACCTCATTCTGCATTTTTTTTTCATATCCTGGATGAGAGTCTGTATTGATGTCAATTGAGCATGTAGGCAGGTGTAGTCTGTTTTCTTCCCCAGCAGGTGGTGCTCTCCACAGCGGTGCTGTTGTTGGAGAGGAAATCAGGAGGAACCAGGTTCCTCTATGGTTCCCTGGGTTACTGAAGAAGCTATTCTATTGGATGCTGCTGCTCCAAGCAGCCATCTTGAATCAGGCAGATCCTATATAAGGTCCTAGCCTCTGGGCTTGGTGCACTTTTAGCGAGTGGACAGAGTGCGGACAGATGCCTCACCTGTGAGGGACAGTAACAATTCTAGGGAGAGGTTCCTGATGAGGAGCGTAAGCTTAAGGTCTTATCTCTTCTGGACATTCTCCCAATTGGAACCTGGTGGTCAGGCCGCATTTGGTCCCCTTTCAACAGATGCCCTCATTCCGGTTGGAATCTGTTCGTGTCCTGCTGCTGAACTGTGAGTGTGTTGGGTGAGTGCTGGGTGGCCTTTCCCAGGTGTGTTTTGAACTGTTACTGCATTTCAATACAAGTTTTATTGCACATGTCTATGTAAATTATTGTCTCCGCACAATGCTGTACACCACTTACAAGGACCCTCCACAAAAAAAAAAGCATGAGGGTCTCCTTAAAATCCATACCAGACTCTTATCAGAGCATGGAGGCTGGCAGGCCATAAAGGGCAGAGGATGACACGGCCTACCCCCTCCTGAACCATAACAGGCCACATGTCCTAAGCATAGCGAGGGTACCGTGCCAGGGAGACCCTCCTGGCAAAGCACCTTGTTGTCATGTTGATACAGACAAGGGCCTCTTAACCACCTGCTGGCCTGGTGGGTTGGGGTTTGCTGGGGGGGCTTATCAGAATCTGGAAACCTCCTTTAAAAATAAGGAGGCCCCAGATACTGCCACCACGTGAATGAGTAAAGAATACATAAAAGTTAACATAGTAGTAAATAAAAAAGCCTGAACAAAAATTAAAATGATTGCAGCGACCAGCTTTAATTATTGGAAAGCTGCTATTGTAATATTATTTATATTACATTTATATGATATTATTGGTCTTGAGTTTAGATGCACTTTAAAGATGACTTGACATGAACCCTATTCAGAAGTTGTTTTGACTACAGCGGCGTAGAGGACCTCTTCATTCTGCTTTGGATTCTCAGCTGGATGTTTCTCTTTCAGTTTTTCTTTGTTTAGTTTGGCGTAAAGGAGGCTACCCTGGGGAAAAAGGGGAATTAAGAAAACATAAGGTCCATACAATGAAATATAAAATACCCAGGAAAAAAAAAACGTTTTCACTTAAGATCTAGCCAGCACCAATTTGTGTCTCACAAGTACAAAAAACAACAAACACACAAAAAATAAATAGGCGCAGTGCTCTCCTGGTGTCTAAAAACTAAATACAGGCATACCTCGTTTTACGAATTTAATTCGTTCTGTGGGACTTTTCATATTGGGAACAATTCGTAAACCGTGGTTTCCCATAGAAATGCATTGAAAACCAATTAATCCGTTCTGGAGGTCAGAAAAAAGTAAAAAAAAAAGTCTTTTATCTGTTCAAAACTCTTTATAAAGTGCACTTTAAAGGCATAAATACTGTACAGGGACATCATTAAAAAAAAAAAAAAAGTTTGTAAATCCATTGAAACCAATAAATACATTCTGGAGGTCAGAAAAAAGTCTTATCTGTTCAAAAATCTTTATAAAGTGCACTTTAAAAGGCATAGTACTGCACAGGGACATTATTAAAAAAAATTTGTACATGCATTGAAAAGAAATTAATCCGTTCGTATTGCGGAAAAAATTAGTAAACCGAGGCATTATTTTCAATGTATTTTCATTCGTAAACCGAAAATTATGTTAACCGAGGCGTTCGTAAACCGAGGTACGCCTGTATATTACTATAAATTCATTTAAAATAAATGCTCACGCATAAACTATATATAAACATAAAACAAACTGTGCTCATATTTTAAATTAATTAATTCTAAAACCTCCACTAGAACTTTTGCTGTTCAGCAAATAAATTAAAAACTTTCAAAAGTTCTGTGTTAGTTCAAAACACCTCTTAATGAATCTCAACCTTCCTTGGAACACACCAATCAAAAGATGTTCAGCGTTGATATTTTTTCAAACATGACAGTTACGCCTCTTCCAAAATCACCATCACTCGTGAACCGATAGATCTGTGCTCACTTTTATTCATTGACCTCTAGATTATAGTCAGTAGGATGTGTCCCTTGTGCTGATTTCTCTTCTGTTAGTAGTAATTCTCCTCTGTCCTGCCAATCCCCCTCCCCCCCCATCACATTTTTCTACTGTAAGAATTAAAACATTTTTCTCTTTAGTGAAATGAATATGAATAACTACTGTAGTAGTAGCTAGTTAGTCACATTCAGCTGCTTTTCATCTGTAATGTTGAAGATGCATCATAGCTTATCCAAGCTGCTTCTTCAGTCCTAATGATCGTCAAAAACATATCCTGACATTTGTAACCACACAGGTAGCATAGACAACCTAAATTAATCACCATGGTAGGGCAGCGCAGTGACTAAATGGTTAGCACTTCCGCCTGGCAGTACTAGGGTCGTTGGTTTGAATCCCAGCCACAGCACCTCCTGCTTGGAGTTTGCATGTTTTCCCTGTGCCTCTGTGGGTGTTCTCCCTGTGTGTCAGGAATGGACTCACCATTAGTGGTGGGACTCATCTGCCATGTGGGCTGCAGTACCAGGGCTGGCCAGCAGGTGCTCTCAGCAACCAGAAGCTCACTCCTGCAATCAACCATCACCTGAGGCTGATTGCAGGAGGTGTATTTAAGGAATGGCCAGACCTGCAGTCAGTGCCTTGGTGTATGTTTCCCATGAGCCCCTGTACCTGCATCCTGTCTGCTTCCTGCCTGATCCTGATTCTGCTTTGGTCCTGACTCTGAACGAACTCCGCCTGTCCTGACCTCGGCTATTCCTGACCACTCTTCCGCTCGCTCCTGGTACCCTGTTTGCCCGTTTGCTACCGACCCGGCCTGCCCGACTACGTTTGATTGTATATATGGTTATCTGTTGGAGTTTGGGTTGTTTGCACTGTGTTATGTTTACTTTGCACTGCGTTTGTGTTGTTTAGTCTTAATACATTGTCTTATTTACACTATACCTGAAGCCTGCGTTTCCCTGTGTCAGTCCACACACCTCTGGTCATACCCGGAGCCCTGACACTGTGCCTGTGTGAGTTTTCTCCTGGTACTCTGGTTTCCTTCCATACTCCAAAGACATGCTGGTAGGTGAATTGGATCCTGTCTAAATTGTCCCTAGTATGTGTATGTATGAATGTGAGTTAGGGATCGTTGAGTGTGTGCCCCTTGAGGGTTAGGGACTGATGTGAATGTACAATATATATGTAAAGCACTGCGTAAAATTGATGGCACTATATAAGTATCTGTAATAAATAATGGAATGTGTCAAAGCAGATGTTGATTGTCCAAGAACAGAAAAGAGTGAAAGTTGTGGAATCCCCCTGTTCTAGTTACATCATCTCATCCATATTGTTAAGAAGTCTACATAGATGGTTGTCTTTCAGTTTGTATGTCTGGAAAAGCTCAGAAGGACCTCAAAGTGGAGTTCCAGCCGTTTCTGTGTTTATTAAAAGTCAGCAGCTACAAAAACTATAGCTGCTGACTTTTAATAAACACACTTACCTGTCTCAGGGTCCAGGGATATACTCACCCGCACCATCCCTTCTCTCCTCTACGGCGCCAGCATCTCAACTGTGGGCACCAGGCTGTGAGAACTTCCGATTGGTCCAGCAGTCTTCTGGGACCTGTGAAGGTTCCCAGGAGACTGCGGGACGAAGGAGGGGGCAAAACTTCTGGCTCACTTTGCCATTGACAGCTCAAAATCACATGACAAGTCGCACTCTATTAGTGCCTATGGAACATCTAAATGTAAAAAAATAATTTAGACCCCCAAAAAAATAATTTCCCATGAAGCTGGAATCAAAAGCAACTATATCTGTTGTAATTTACCCCATTTCCATCCATCTCTTGGTACTTACATCTTCTCTATCTGCTCCATCTTCCATCTGCCTGTTTTCCATCTCGTTACCTCCCGCCTCATCAGTGCCATCCACTGAGATATGCTCTGGTTTCTGAAATCACCCAACATACAAATCATATACCTCCTTCACCTGAGAATGCTGAATATCAGCTATACATACTGTGTAGCAACAGAGGAACTTACAGAGGAAATACATTCTATGATTATCCCAAAAGACACATTCACAAATATAAATTTTCAATCTTCACTTTTATTTTTTGTCTAGCCTCTTTTACTATTACTGTATTAATTGTCCATTCCTGGCATCAAAATGCCTATTTGGGCTTCTGTATGTTAACATAAACACATATTTGATACATTAGAGCAGTGCTCAACAAACTGCACCTCACGGGCAGGTACAATTCTGTGCTTGCCTTTTATTGGCCAAGGAGGCAGTAATCTTCCTGCTGACACCAGCAATGAGGCACTATTCCTCCCACTGGTAACAATGATGGAGCACTAAATTGGAAACCTCCCACTGACTCCAATGATAGGATATGATTCCTCTCACTGACACCAATGATGGGGCACTATTCCTCTCACTGACACCAATGATGGGGCACTATTCCTCTCACTGACACCAATGATGGGGCACTATTCCTCTCACTGACACCAATGATGGGGCACTATTCCTCTCACTGACACCAATGATGGGGCACTATTCCTCTCACTGACACCAATGATGGGGCACTATTCCTCTCACTGACACCAATGATGGGGCACTATTCCTCTCACTGACACCAATGATGGGGCACTATTCCTCTCACTGACACCAATGATGGGGCACTATTCCTCTCACTGACACCAATGATGGGGCACTATTCCTCTCACTGACACCAATGATGGGGCACTATTCTTCCCACTGACACCAATGATGAGGGCCTTATTCCTACCACTAACACCAATTATAGGGAAATATTCCTCCCACTGACACCAATGATGGGGCACTATTCCTCTCACTGACACCAATGATGGGGCACTATTCCTCTCACTGACACCAATGATGGGGCACTAATCAAACCACTGATTTCAACAATGGGGCATTATTCCTCCCACTGACACCAATGATGGGGCACTATGCCTCCCACTGTCACCAACAATCGGACACTATTCCTCCATTGACACCTATGATGGGGCACTATTCCTCTATTGACACCAATAATGGGGCACTATTCCTCCACTCACACCAATGATTTTGTACTATTCCTCCCATTGACAGGAATGATGGAGCATTATTCCTCCTACTGACACCAACCAAGGGACACCATTCCTTCCACTGACATTATTTTGGGTACTACTCCTCCTTCCATTAACCACAGGCACTAGACTATGTTTACTTTCACTGACCACCAACCCTTAGGCTTTTTTTTGTTCTCACTAGCCACCAAGACTAGCATATTGTTTACTTGTACTGTTGTTAGGACATTTTTTGACTCCTGCTAGTCACAATCTGCCCCTTTAAAGTTTAAAGGACAGTGAACAGGCCCTTTGTATAGAACGTTTAAGGACTCCTGCAGTAGACTGTACTAGACTTTTTATGCTCTTCTTCAGCTGTATAAGAATACATAGATTATATGTCGTATCTCATGAAGCTGTCTCCATATTGATGGCTACATAACAACATTATAAAATGTGTTTGTTTTGTATATTTGAAAGATTTACATTAGGTAGGTACAACATTGAAAAACGACCTTTACAGGTAGCTGGGATAACAACAAATGAATATAGAAGATCCAGAGATTCAATGTAGCACTCAGGATGTGGTGGCTGGCCTTAAAGAACAGTTTCCTTAGACACATCACATGACGCAGATGACACATTTACAAGGCAGACTGGGTCACTCACTACCCGTTGCACTGCGGTGAGAAAGTTATCATGTTCTCCACCAATTTACAAGTAGCCGGTGTCATGGCCACAGTCACCCAATGATGACTTCACTGAGTGGCAGGGCAAAAATCATAAGAAATGGTGGTCAGAAAAATGGAAAAACAAAAAGAAAATGGCGCTAAAGAAATATTATCTGCTAAAAGTCAATAATAAAAAGTCTGTAAAAGTAGTCCAGCATCAATGTATTGATATAAGGGTCAAGCGGGTGGTAAATACGGCATCGGCGGCAGCACCCTTGGGAGTGAAGCATGGACTCTGTAGGCATATACGGGAAAACACAGAGGGGCTCCAGACTAAGTGCGGCATTAAAAACACCTAGGTTTATTAAATTTCACAATTGGCAAATCAAATATTGGTTGAGACGAAGAGGCATATACAGTATAAGAATCTATGTCTGAGCATAGAGAGTCTCCCGTGTAGTCCTAGTTAGCGGCAGCACCAGTGCAGGAGAGCAGAAAGGAAGGAAAGACCATGAAACAGCTGACTGCCATGATGATAGTCAGTGTGGAATTCAAGATGGCGCCAGACCACAACTAATGTCAACGGGAAGACCTCAGGACTGAGGAAGAAACGGAAGCTTCTAAACGCATTACTGCCCCCAACCATGGCAGGTCTGAGGAAGAAGTGGAAGCTTCGAAATGCATTAATGCCTCCATCCATGGCATCGCGTTTTCCCGTTGATGTCAGTTCTGATCTGGCGCCATCTTGCGCTTCACTCTGGTTATCGTGGCGGTTGGCCGTTTCCTGGTCTTTCCGTCTTTACCACTCTGCGGCACTGGTGCTGCAGCGAACTAGGACTACACAGGAGACTCTCTACACTCAGCCACAGATTCTTATATATGCCTCTTCATCTCAACAAAAATGTGAGTTGCCAATTGTGAATTTTAATGAACCTAGGTGTTTTAATGCTGCACTTAGTCTGGTGCCTGTCTGTGTTTTCCTGTATATACCTACAGCCAGGGGCGGAATGACATCTCATGGGGCCCCCGGGCAATAGGGGATCATGGGGCCCCTGTGTCCTTGCCCCAAACTCAAAAAAGCCTATGAAAAAGGTACCAGGGGCATCTCATGGGGCCCCCTACTGACCCCGGGCCCTTGGGCAGTGCCTGAGTTTCCAAATGGTCAATCCGCCCCTGCCTACAGCTTCCATGCTACACTCTCAAGGGTGCTGCCCCTGATGCTGTATTTACCACCTGCTTGACACTTACCGTATATCATTGCATTGATGCTGGACTTCTTTTATGGACTTTTTATTATTGACTTTTAGCAGATAATATTTCTTCAGCACCATTTCCTTTTTGTTTTTCTATTTTTCTGACCACCTATTCTTATGATTTTTGCCCTACTTGGCTGGTGGTCAGGAAAGCTCCCCCTTTAGCTCCTTGTACAGTCAAGTCCATTTGATCCTATCACACTGACTTCACATATAAAATTTATGTTTTTAGCAAATTGTCCATTAAGAATGTTACCCGTGCGCCTATTTCACAGTATGGTCCCTCCTCACTTGTCACATCACCTAAGAATAAGCAGAAAACAGTCCCGTGAATTCCAGTATTCACTAAATATCCAATTCTGTTAGTACTTGACATACTTTTTTTTTACATACTTTCTGAAATATTTCAAGTTGAACCCTGAGCAGTTATAACCACAAAATTACATTGGTACCAAACTCTTAATTAGGATGAGGGACCGATGTAGATAAGAGGAAACCTATGGGGACCTCTGAGGAGGATGCCCAGTGGGAGGGGCGAAATGCATCAAATACGGACTGTGGTAACATAATGGTGCAACATTTCCTGGTTTTAATGATTGTCAATATCTTATGATTGTAAGTGAAATATATATATATTATTCCTTGGATTTTAACAAATGGAATTACACTATGTGGCCTTCCTCTTCCATTTATGCATGAGTACCCAACTGCCACAGATGATGGATTGAAACAGGCCAGTGCAGCTGCACAGAGGTGAACTACAAGCCACAGCAGAACCATAACTTCTCCTCCACCAAAGCAAGTCTGACTCTTGTTTGATTATAAGTGTCCACAGGAGTTTTTGAGTGAGTGGGACCTGTCAGGAGCTGACTGGCAGTAGCCTCTAGTGCCCCACAGATCAGAATTCCTCAAGGCGCGGAATCTAAGCCCCAGCCTGCTGTTTCACCAGAGCCCCTGATGGTGGGGATGGACTTGGAGCAGACTGAGACCAGGTCCCAGCCCCCAAGTACAACCGGCTGTGGTAGAGGTAGTTGCCAGTGGCAAGTAACAGGTGAGAGCCTGATGTGAAGAGGCGGAGTGTAGCGTAGTCAGACAGGCCAGGTCGGTAACAGCGGAGGCAAACGGTACAGCGCAGCAGGCTAAGAGTAATCGGGTCACAGGCCAGGTTCAGATCAGATAATCAGAATCAGGCAGAGAATAGTCAAAACGAGCCAAAGGTCAGAGCAGGAGATGGTCAACAGGATCAGGGTCAGGCTGGGTCGGCAACAAGGCAATCGCTGGAACAGAAACGAGCAGGAACACAGGAACAAGATCATACGACAATTTGGGTATGCACAGGGCTGGTTTAAATAGTGCGCCCTGCGCTGTCATTAATGCCAGACGCACGCATCCGTGAGTGCACATGCGCGGCCGCCGCTGTTGCTGCGGTTGCCTTTGCCCTAGTGCCCGTCGGCTAATGCGCATGCGCAGACCCAGCACCACCGCGATCCCTGACAGGACCACTAGTGGGGAGCACAGAGCATGGATTACATGGATATATGATGAGCACTTTTTGGAAGCTATAAACTTCCCCAATAAACAAGTCACAAGGGATTATTTATGTTTGTTTGTTATTGTAAGGAGGGAGCAATTTCATATTTTCTAATTGTACATAAGAGGAAACTTAGCTGCTTTGTTAAAAACAGAAGGAAGAGGGCGGGAACTGCCTCTGAGGATGCCCAGAATAAGGGGTGAAACGCATCAAAATGGATCGTGCTGATGTTAGCATAGGAGTTTGAAGATTAATTGCGATCTACTGTGGTATTGTTGGGGATTCACGGTGCCTCTGGAAACATGTGAGTGCAATATCAGTGTGTCTGCTTTAAATTAATAAATCAAATGACACTATTTTGGATGCCTCTTTCCATTTCTTACATGCATATACCTTTACCGGATTTACTGGATTCATATCTGGATCACTGAGCATGACAAGCATTTTATAGCCAGGAGGACTACAGCTCCATCATGATTTTGAAGAGTCAAATTGATTTTTTTTTTTTTTGCTTTGGTTCATGTCCCCCACAGCAGTTCCCATACAATTTTCTAGCAATTCCTTGCCTATTGGCTTAGAAAATGGCTATTACTGGTTTTTATCATTGGGCTCCTGATGACTTCAGTGTGGATTGAAGTCATGACCTCATCATTTTGATGATGCTCCTTCATTGTACAATTGCAGGCCGGGATGTAGAGGTTACAAAACAAACTGTATTTCTTACCTGCAGGGATGTACCTGTCTGATAACATGGCCCTAGCACAAAGAATTATAGTACGTCATGATGAAGTATACTGTTTCCTTATTATGGTCCCTTGGACCAATTTACTGATTCTATCAGGAATAATTCAATATTTGTCAGCAGAGAAAATAATGGATTTCAAGTCTACCTGCTGGCCACAGATAACCCAGACATTGGGAGATCTACTCTCTACATGCTGGTCTGAAAATATTACATTCAAAAGTGGTCCATTGGAACAATTTACTGATTTTACCAGGAAAAATTCAATATTTGCTAAGCAAAGAAAATAGGCATCACGATGATATATTTGTATATGAAACACGTTAAGGAGGAGCCCCACCACCCAGAGACGTCAAGTTGCCGGATCACGGAGGTCCGGCGGCCATTACAACCATTGTACTGGTCAGTAACATTGCCAGCACAGGCTTTTTGTATTCGATTTACTGTAGTACTGCATGTGAATGTGACCACTTTCATCCCATGTATGTGCTTATTTTTATGCATTCACCTTTTAAATCTTAATAAAATCATATATCATACTACACTATGAAACCCCCCCTTTTTTCTGGCTCTACTATGAGCACCTAACCCCCAGGATCCAGGTTTCATCCAGCTTGGAGGATGGAATAAATTCCATGACCAGACCTATCTTAAGATCTTGGAGAGGGACCTCGGATTCACTGTTAGAGGTGGACCAACTTCTAGACCAGACCAGGTTCCATTTGATGGGAGTCCCCCAAGCCAGATTACATCATTTAATGCGCATTAAAATAGTGCTTCTGGTGAGTTTGCAATCCCGCTAATCTTCCGCACACCACCGGATGTTTTTTCACTTCCTGGCTGATTATCCACTCCCAGATCTTATCAAGTATTGGAATCTCATCATTGGTTAATTACTTTTTTATTTTTCATCCACCTATCTACTAGGACTTATATTTGGTTCACATAATATAACCTATTATTAATCTATCTTTGCCACATTCATTCACTTATTTGTTTCCTATTTTATGCGCTGCACTACTGCTATGTTTTAGAGAAAATGATGGATTTGAAGTCTACCTGCTGGCCACAGACAACCCAGAAGGAGGGGCAAACTGACCATTCGAGCACCCGGGCACTGCCCGAGGGCCTGGGGTCAGTAGGGGGCCCCATAAAATGCTCCTGGTACCTTTTTTATAGGCTTTTTTTGCATGTGAGCAAGGACAAAGGGGCCCATGATCTCTTATTGCCCAGGGGCCCCATGAGTTGTCAGTCCGCCCCTGCCCAGAAGTTGGGAAATCTGCTCTCTTCACACTGTTCCTAAAATACTGCATTTGAAGGTGGTTCTTTGGACCAATTTACTGATTCTGCTAGGAAAAAAATCAATATTTGCCAAGCAGTACTCTGCTGTACCTTTACCTCATTAAATTATGACTCTTGGATATATATCAACTGTACTCTCACCTGCAGCTGGCATGGTGTTCATCTGCTGTTCAGAACTAAGAAAAATGTAAAGATGATAAGTTAGATTCTGCAGAAAGGACCACGGAATATTTAGTCAGGAAAAATCAAAATAGGTAGAAATGAAAAATGAAGTGGCCACGTGCATGAGCATCAATTTTGCAGTTTGTATATTCATTTACATCAAATTTGATCAAAAATCAAGTTACATTGGAATAGAAAAACCACAGGAAATCCTGGAAACTGACACATCTTCCATATTGCACTATAGTAGTGGTTAGCAATTTTAAATCACTTAAATCCAGATTCAACCTGGGCTTGGACAATTTACTATTTGACCACTGATTCAGAATTTCATTTGGAAAATTAAACAAAAATGAATTGCTTTCTAATACATGGTACCTTTTGTTAGGATGCATCTGAAATGTATTTAGCTGATTTAAAGTAAAACTTGAATAGATCTTTAAAACAAAGCTAACTTAAGCTGAAAGGCTATGGTAGCACTACCAATTTCAGGAGAGGATTTAGAAGATGGCATTAGAGGTCCTTATGGGGGCAAACAACCTCCATGATAACTTCTGACATTTTCTTCCTGTCTTGGTAGTGTACCACTACCCCCTCAGGGGTTGCTGTTGAATTTGGGTCCCCCTATAGTTCTGCACAGCCATTCAGTTAGTATTTTCTGCACAAACTTTCATACATAGACAGAAATCAGTCCTTCAGCATTTGTTTTGTTGTTTTATTGAGGGGATTAAATTTGGATAGGGTAAAGGGGTGTATAGGATGCCCAAGGGAACTGAGGTCTGAGGACAACTTCTTGAACTATTCACAGCTTCTTCTTTCTAACACAAAGTCTCTGTTGCTAGTCAGCAGCTCCAGTTGTACTACCCCAGACTCTAGATGAACTCCTCTTCACCCAGCAATCTGAAGGTTTTCTTCCTAAGCAGGGGGATCTAGTTCCTATTCCCTTAAATAAGGTGCACAATCACTAGCAGAGGGCCAATTTGGTTTCCCACCAGCGTGCTCCTTCCTCTATCTGCCCACTTGTAGAATGGCTGCTGCTACCAGGCCTCCTTTCCTGCCATACAGGTGGTCCTCTCTCAGGGGGCCAGTAGTCCCAAGTAGTCCTGAGTTTTCCTCCTTTCCAGCTCAAAGCTCGCAGGCAGGCCCCATCCCAATAGGCCTCCTGCAGCCTTCCTCCAGCCAGCCTCACATCTTTCTGCTTCTCACTTCTCTCCCACCACACTCCTGCTATTGAGCAGACTCTAACATGTTTAAGGGAGTCATCCCCTTGCCAAGCCTTCTGTTGGGGATTAGCTAAGGTTCCTCAAAAATGCAGCCAGCCACTCCTCAGATCCACCCACTGCCTCTAAGGCTCTCCCTTCGAAAAGCTCAGAGCTGGGGGAAATTGCAGAAGGCTGGCCTGTAGAGTCTCTCAGTGCTGACCAGAATTTGACTCTTCTAACTATATTACCAGAGCTGCTCATCAGCTCCTCGCTAGAAACAGGGTCCAGCTCCACCTATCTAAACTAGGAGGGTGCTACAGTAGCTTTTTATATAACTCGATAATTGCTTGCATCAGTCAGCTTTAGGTTGGACGTGGGGGGAAAATATGACCCAAACCAGCTTAACCCTTGAAACACTACACTACCATACTGGACTCACTATTCGCTGCTACAAGCCAAGAAGATGCAACCTGCTGCAGGCCCAAAGAGGTACATTTGTGGAAATAAAAACCTGTAAAAACTCCTAAAGTCGTTACTATTTCCAACTTTGCTTTTGGGCAAAAGAGGTTCTAAACCTTTCTTTCTAAAGAAAAAGTGTTAGCTGGAGTTCCACTTCAAGTCATAGTTGTTAAAGAAAAGGCGTCCCATTACAGTGAGTGCAGAAAAAAAGCAGTGTGGATTTAGGATCATAGATGCATACTTACAAACTGGTTTTCTTTTTACAAATAACACCTGCAAACAATGAAGGGACAACAATTAGTTTTTTAATTTACTCACCATGGTCATCTCCCACATCCACCAACAATATCATGTAAGAAGTAGAACTGACATTCTGTAGTACAATACGATGACTTCAATGATGCACATGGAAGGCTTTCATTAAAATGTCTAAACCCACACCAGATTTGGTGGTTGCACTAGTTTCCTTTGTCAGACTGTTTACTACTATTTTCACCTGGTGATCCTGCCAATAGCACACTTCCTGTCCTTGGGTGACAACTCTCTGTGCTGTATTTATGGAGAAACAATGTTGTCACCTTAGAACAGGAAGTATGTGAGAACTATAGAACACCTCACCCTTTACTTAATGCATAATTCTGTCCTATGAAGCTGCCCTCATTTAAATCTGCACTGCTCTGAGCTTAAAATGAATTTGTCCTAAACCTTGGCATATCATACCAAGCATATGAAATATTCCATGAACAGAGGTTGCTTTTGGTAAATTGCCCTGCTCCTTCATTACCTCGGGGGGCCTCTGATGTGCAAATCTCAAGTGTTGAAGCATTTTAATGGCCATCCAAACCTCTTCCACTTGTTGCAACTTAGTTTTAAAAATGAAGGATAGCTGCACTCCCTTGTTCAACAAGGAATGTTGGGAAGAGTTGGCAAGAGCCATTAGTTTCTTCACAGTGTTCAAGATTTGTATATCAGAGTGTTACAAGATTAGACACTTCTGGAGTACAGAGGATGCTGGGCAAAGGTACACGGAGGGTCAGTGTTAAAGCAGAACTTTACCCTCCCTACATCATATTCCTCCCATCCACTCCTCTAACAAAATTGTAATTGTTTTTTGGGGGGAGGGGCAGATTTTTGGGGCTACTTCCTCATATTTGGCCTAGGCCTGAAACACATGAACATTTGCCTGCTGTCTCCTGGGATACCCATGTCATAGGTCCCAGGAGTTTGCCGGTACACTATGGTCATCAATGGTTGAGGTTGTCTTTTAGTTGTTTTTGTAGACAATCCTCTGCTGACCCACCCAGTGCATGAACGTCATCCTAGGGTCTCTGCACAACCTGGAAGGCACAGCTTCTCCCCCCCAGTGATGTAAAAAGAGATGGCAGAGTGGGGGTGAGTATGCTATGGCAAAGATGCAGATCCCTAGACAAAGCCACTGGATCGGCAGGCTCATGAGTATGCTTTTGGGGAACCACCCAGCTATACAAGTAAGAGGGGAGGGGGAAAGTTGAGTTCCCCTTAAAGCTACAGGGATGGTTAATTTTAGGGTCAGAGCTTGTAACTATCAACCTGTACTGATTATCTTCTACTAGTCAGTATTCAGCACCTTAGCGTGGTCACGCTTATTGATGAGTGAACCTGGCAAAGTTTGGTTCCCTACACAAGGTAGAAACTTGGAGTGCCACTGAAAGCCAAAGATGAGATTCTTCCCTCTTTCCTAGGAAATGGAATGCCGGTGTTTTGCTTTACACATCTAGAAAGTGTCAGGTAATGAAGTGAAATAGATACTACTCTCTCAGCCAGCCTGTGTGAGGTAGCGATAAGGAATGGCCTCAGCCTATGCTTCTCCACAAACCATGCCCCATCTACCAGGGCTTAGTTATTGTTACCTACGTGTTTGGTTCCCTACATGTTCTCTGAACCCATCAGGACCTTTGTGAATACCAAACATAGTGCTAAACCCATAAAAGTTTATGGCAGCTGAATATATATATATATATATATATATATATATATATATATATATATTCAAGCTATAGTTATATAACGGATATGGGCTGAAAGTGCACACTCTTGGGTTTAATTTGAGGATATGTACATCCAAAATTGGAGGAAGGGTTTAATAATTACAGCTCTTAAGTGTAGCCACCCCCCTTTTTCAAGGGACCAAAAGTAATTGGACAATTGAATCAAAAGCTGTTTCATGGCCAGGTGTGGGCTACTCCTTTGTAATTTTTTCATCAATTAAGCAGGTAAAAGGTCTGGAGTAAATTCTAAGTGTGGTATTTGCATTTGGAATCTATTGCTGGGAACCTACATCATGCGTACAAAGGAGCTGTCCATGCAAGTGAAGCAGGCCGTTGTAAGGCTTCAAAAAAAACAAATCCATCAGAGAGGTAGCAGCAACATTAGGAGTGGCCAAATCAACATTTTGGTACATTCTGAGGAAAGAGCTCAGCGACATAAAAGGCATGGATGTCCACAGAAAACAACAGTGGTGGGCGATCGCAGTATCCTCTCTACGGTAAAGAAAAACCCATTCACAACATCCAGACAAGTGAAGGACACTCTCCAGGAGGTGGGCGTATCATTGTCAGTCTACAATCAAGAGAAGGCTTCATGAGCACAAATACAAAGGGTTCACCACAAGGTGCAAACCATTCATAAGCCTGAAGAATAGAAAAGCCAGATTAGACTTTGCCAAAAAACATAAAAAAAGCCAGACCAGCTCTGGAAAAGCATTCTTTGGATGGATGGACCTAGGATTAATCTGTACCAGAATGACGGGAAGAAAAAAGTGTGGAGAAGGCTTGGAACAGCTCATGACCCAAAGCACACAAAGTCATTTGTAAAACATGGTGGAGGCAGTGTGATGGCATGGGCCAAGGGGGAGCCCCTGCAAGCCGTTGACGTCAAGCCGTCGGATCACAGGGATCCGACGGCCACCTCATTTTACCAGCTGCATATCTCCAGTGATTGTCCCAGGGCCTGGAAGAGGCTGAATTATCCATAATGACCACCATATCCTGGTATCTAAGGGAGACCACCCACCCCAGACCACATCCCGGATTACCCCTAAGGAACCCGTGAATGACCAGGATTATATGATACAACGCACTTTTTATTAGCGCATCTGGTGAGTGCGCATTTTGTATATTCAGTGGCACACCCACCTAAGGAGAATAAGCACACTGGGGTTTTACTGAAATCACTTGGAGACCACATCTAATTTTAAGAAGTTATTGACTTTTCATGATCCTCACGCATGTTATGAGTATGCGTTTATTGTGGACACCCGTACCTATATTTATTTATATATTTTTCAGAGTATAATGAGCTTAAAATTACTGTACAAGGATATTTCATGAGCAAAACGCATTTATCACCCACGTGCGTTTGATGTCCTTTGGATTGGTTATTCCTACACATTTTTTTAGCGCTGCACCTATATATATTTTTACAAGTCACTTTGAGGGCATATGGTTTACCTTTTTAGTGTGTTCAGCTGCTTTCATTTCATTTTAGTTATATATAATTTTTTTTTTATCATTAGCACTCGCTTAATTTTCTTCTATTTTGATGGCATGGACATGCATGGCTTCCAGTGGCACTGGGTCATTAGTGTTTATTGATGATGTGACAGAAGACAGAAGCAGCCGGATGAATTCTGCAGTGTTTAGAGATATACTGTCAGACCAGATGCAGCCAAATGCAGCAAAGTTGATTGGACGACGCTTCACAGTACAGATGGACAATGATCCAAAACACACTGCAAAAGCAACCCAGGAGCTTTTGAAGGAAAAGAAGTGGAATATTCTGCAATGGCCGAGTCAGTCATCTGATCTCAACCCCATTGAGCATGCTTTTTACTTGCTGAAGGCAAAACTAAAGGCAGAAAGACCCACAAACAAAGAACAACTGAAGACAGCTGCAGTTAGAGCCTGGCAAAGCATCAGAAAGGAGGAAACCCAGTCTTTGGTAATGTCCATGGGTTCCAGACTTCAGGCAAAGCATCAGCAAGGAGGAAACCCAGTCTTTGGTAATGTCCATGGGTTCCAGACTTCAGGCAAAGCATCAGAAAGGAGGAAACCCAGTCTTTGGTAATGTCCATGGGTTCCAGACTTCAGGGAAAGCATCAGAAAGGAGGAATCCCAGTCTTTGGTCATGTCCTTGGGTTCCAGACTTCAGGCAGTCATTGCCAGTAAAGGATTCTCAACAAAATATTACAAATGAACATTTTATTTATGATTATATTCAATTATCCAATTACTTTTGATCCTTCGAAAAAGGGGGAATGGCTACTCCTAAGAGCTGTAATTCCTAAACCCTCCCTCCAATTTAGATGTACATACCCTCAAATTAAACCTGAGAGTGGGCACTTTCAGGGAGAGGGAGAGAGAGAGTGTTATTTTTTTTAAATGGCATGGTTTTCTGCATTTGACTTTCAAAGAGGCCAATAGGGTTATGAAAAAAAATAAATAAATAAAACAAGCAGTGTCATGGTGTAATTACTTACCAGCAGTCAAAGAATGGGAGACCAAATTTTTGCGCTAGACATGTGCGTTGCGTTTTGTTCTGTATTCGAAATTTGGACGAATGTATCCGAATTTCGGACAATGTATCCAAATTTCCAAATGACAATAGTAAGGAATTTAAACAATTCCAAAATAATGAAACAAAATTTTGCCTGAAACTACAAATTATCTGAATCAAATTTGAATTGGAAATGAAACTGAAGTTGCAAAACAAATTTGAAATGTAAACATAGTGCTGACTATTGCTGAATTCCTTCAAAGACTACGGGAGAGATTTACTACAACTGGAGCGCTCAGAATCTGGTGCAGTTGTGCATGGGAGCCAATCAGCTTCTAACCTCAGCTTGTTCAATTAGGTTTGACAATAAAAGCTGGAAGCTGGTTGGTTACTATGCAGAACTGCACCAGATTTTGCACCAGCCAATTTTAGTAAATAATTTTATATAAAAGTGTCAAAAAACAGAAAAAATCTAATGACACATACAAAAAACAAAAACAAAAAAATAAAAAAAAATCCGTGACACATACAAGAACAAAAAGTCCAGTGACACATACAAAAAAAGTCCAGTGACCAAAAACGAGAACGCCCTGTGGGTGGGGCGAAACGCATTGACGTATTTCCAGCTGGCCGTCCCGGCGTCCTGCGTCATTTCCAGTGAGTGGAATGCACGCCGAGCGGTGCGTTCCAAGGGGCCATCTTGTTTAGTGGAGGAGGCTGTTTCTGAGGTCTGTCATCCTGCTGTGTACCTGACTGTGAGGTATTACTACAGGATCTGAGGAAAAATCGTTTTTATACACAAATAAATGCTGGTTATTACCTTTTAAAAAGTGAGTGGTCTGGTTAAAGCCAATTAAGACTGAAAGTTATAACGGTATTATACTATTCGTTTTTTTCTTCTTCCTGGAATCTGGTGGAGTCGGCGAGGGGAGTAATCGGAGGAGTTTTCTATATCTTAGAGGTGACAATATTTGGAGGTTATAAAGGGGGTCCAGGAGCCCTAAATAATCCTGAAAGGCGTTATACTCACCAAATATCTGGTGAGTACGGTTCATGTTGGTTTTGCACTGGTGGATGGTGGAAGGAATACTAATGGCACTGAAGAATTTCATGAAAATATACGTTTTTTGGTCACTGGACGTTTTTTTTTTTATATGTCACTAGACTTTTTGTTCTTGTATGTGTCATGGATTTTTTTTTTTTTTTTTTTTGTTCTTTGTATGTGTCATTAGATTTTTTCTGTTTTTTGACACTTATATAAAATTGTAATATTTGTATTAATATTATTTATAGGAAAAGGTATTTCACATATACAGATTGTTTCTGTGTTTTTGCGCTGTTTTTTGAGTTGAAGAAATTTTGTGGTTTTATACCTGTGTACAGCAGCAATTCACGTAAAGAGTGTGTTGGGAAGGTGGTCCTGGGGCGCTGTGGTTCTTTTTTATTGTATTCAATTTTAGTAAATAACTCCCCTTGTGTATTAGTTTTAATATAGACATCTTTCGAAATTCAAATTTCAAAAAGAATAAAGTTGAATGAAAAATAAAATAGAAATATAGAAATTCTATTTTCTATAGAAATAGAAATAAATAAAATAGAAAAAAAGAATAGAATACAAAATAGAATAGAAAAAATAGAATATAGCCATCTTCTGAAATATGAATAGAATAGAAAAAAATATAGCTGTCTTCTGAAATTTAAATTTTGAATAGAATAGAACCAGGTATTCTTCAGAATGAATTCGGAATCAAATACATACTTCTAACCAATTGTAAAAAAAAAGTGGATCTGGTCAAAACTGAACAAAACGAAACTGAATACATTTTGTTACGAAAGCAACAAAATGAAATTAATATTCAAATTGAAATATTCTATTCAAATTTTGAATAGAATAGAACCAGCTATTTCTCAGAATGAATTCGGAATCAAATACATACTTCGAACCTATTGTAGAAAAAAAAGTGGATCTGGTTAAAAATGAATAAACAAAACGAAACAGAAAAAATTTAGTTACGAATGCAACAAAATGAAATTAATAACCTAAATCGACCCAAAACAAAACTCATTTTTCCATTCTTCACATGCGTCTTTCACACTAAACACTGTATGGGTGAGCATGGTTTAGATTTAGCAAAATGTTCTTTTGTTAACCTGCGAGTTGGTTGCACTGGCTTATTTTTGAAAAGCCCAAATTTTGCGGAAAGAAAGGGAGGTAATATGGAGTGTACCCACCTTTTACCGTTAAAACTATTAGGATCACTAGGAGGATGATTAGGACAGCCCCCGAGGAGACAATAATTAATAACATGTGTCTTTCTATGGTCGAAGCATCTGAAAAGGAAAAAGACACACAAAAAGTTAACGTGGTTGTGACCTATGATGAGTTAAACATAAGGTGACCAATAAACCTAAAAACACAAGTTCCATAAAGCTGAACTCCAGCTAAATACACAAATAAAATGCATATATAGCTGATTACCTGGCTAAGGATTTGTATTGCTGTCCAACCAGTCTTGAGATTTACACAGCTCTATCTGGCAGACCTTGAGACCTGATTTCCCTGCTGCAGTTCAGTAACTTTGGCAGGTTGGGGAAGGACCAGCCAATCACGCAACCACTGTGATTGGCTGTAACCGTGGTCACATGACCGGGAGCTACTGGTCAATAGCAGAGACCAAGAACTGTCTTTGCCAGCTTGATCACTGTGCTGGGAGCTGGAATTCAGCACAGACAGCTCTGCCATGGAGGAACATGTGCAGTTTGTGTTCATTAAAGCTCCCCGTCTTTGCCGGCACACAGATATGAGTTGTTTGGGCAGCAAGAGGTTAAGGACAATTTAGCTAGACTTGTTTTTAACCACTTTTAGCGCCTGAAAATTTTACCTCCCTTTGTGACCAGGCCATTTTTTAGCTATTCGGCACTGAGCTAATTGCTCTGGTAATTGTGCTGTCATGCAATGCAGTACACAAGTGACGTTTATATATATTTTTTTTTCACACAAATACAGCTTTCTTTTGGTGGTATTTGATCACCACTGTTTTCTTTTTTTTGCAATATCAATGAAAAAATACCAAAAAGTTTGGGACAAAAGCTATTTTTTTTAACTTTCTGCTATAAAACCAATAAAAAAAAAAAATTAGAAAAACAAATTTCTTCATAAATTTTGGCCAAAATGTATTCTGCTTCATGTTTTTGATTGTTAACCCCTTCCTCCCCAGTGGCATTAGTACAGTGTCAGGGCTTTTTATTAGCACTGATCACTGTATTGGTGTCACTGGGAATGTCAGTGGCAGTTAGTCAGTTCCCCCCCCAGTGTCAGCCCGCCACAGTCCTGCTATAAGTCGCTGATCGCCACCATTACTAGTATTAAAAAAAAAAAAAATCCCAGTATATATACCGCCTTTTGTATAACTTTCACGTAAACCAATTAATTTACACGTATTGGGATTTTTTGTTGGCAAAGACATGGAGCAGAATACATTTTGGCCTAAATTTATGACAAAATTTGATTTTTAATTTTTTTTTACTGGATATGTTTAAGAGCAAAAAAAGTCAAAAATACTGTTTTTTTTTTTTTCAAAATTGTCAGTCTTTTTTTGTTTATAGCACAAAAAATAAAAAATGCACAGGCGATCAAATACCACCGAAAGAAAGCTCAATTCATTTAAAAAAAAAGGACATACATTTCATTTGGGTGCAGCATTATATGACTGCGCAATTGTCAGTTAAAGTAACGCAGCGCCGTATCGCAAAAAATAGCCTGGTCAGGAAGGGGGGTAAATCCTCTGGAGGGCAAGGGGTTAAAGCTTACCTGTAGGTAAAATAAATATCTCCTAAACATGCACTGTTTAGGAGATAATCTCTCTTTTCTAAAGCCGGCGCATGCGCTGTGAAGGAACGGCATACTTGTGCCATTCCTTCAGAGCTGTGTGCCGTGGCCTGGGACTCCAGTGCACACATGTGGGGACTGACGTCATCGCGGCCTGGCCTGTCAGGCGAGCTTGTGAACACGGAAGGACGACCGGGTGAAGATGGAAGCCTCTGCAGCGGTGACATCGCGCTATGCCATGCATACTAGTACATTATGACATTTATCTTGCAGGGGACTTTTTTTTTTTCTTTCTTGCGGTTTACTACCACTTTAAACATTTCAAAAAAATCACTGCTTCTGACAAAATGGTATCTTTAGTCATTTATTGTTTTGGTACATGTTCCCCAGGGAAGTGCATACCTCCCCAGGGGCGGACTGACCATTTGGAAACTCGGGCACTGCCCGAGGGCCCGGGGTCAGCAGGGGGACCCCATGAGATGCCCATGGTACCTTTTTCATAGGCTTTTTTGAGTGTGGGCAAGGACACAGGGGCCCCATGATCCCCTATTGCCCGGGGGGCCCCATGAGTTGTCAGTCCGCCCCTGTACCTCCCATGCTATTTTTTTTTTTTACAAGCCCTTGTCTGCTAGGCAAGAAAATAGGCATTTTTACTTTGACAAATTCGGCTCCCATTGATTAAAGCTCAGGTTCAGCATCAAACTTCTTCCCAAATTAACCATCTAAGGACTTTGTTGTAGAACAGGGGTCTCCAAACTGTCTGAACAAAGGGCCGGTTTACTGTCCTTCAAGCTTTGAGGGGGCTGGACTGTGGCCAGTGTGAATAGAAAATGCCCCAACGTCAATGGGAATAAACAATGCCTCATCATTGGTATTGATTAGAGGAATAGTAGTCCATTATTGGTAGTAGGGGAACAAATATTGCCCCATCATTGGGATCAGGGAAAGGATTAGTACCTCATTGTTTTTATCAGGGAAAGGAATAGTGCCCCATCACTTGTGTCAGTGGGAAGAATAGTTCCATAACATTGGTGTCAGTTGTAGGAATAGTGCCCCATCATTGGTGTCAGTTGTAGGAATAGTGCCCCATCATTGGTGTCAGTTGTAGGAATAGTGCCCCATCATTGGTATCAGTGGGAGGAATAGTGTCCCATCATTGGTGTCAGTTGTAGGAATAGTGTCCCATCATTGGTGTCAGTTGTAGGAATAGTGTCCCATCATTGGTGTCAGTTGTAGGAATAGTGCCCCGCGATTGGTGGCATTGGAAGGAATAGTGCCCCATCATTGATGTCAGTTGTAGGAATAGTGCCCCATCATTGGTGTCAGTTGTAGGAATAGTGCCCCATCATTGGTGTCAGTGGGAGGAATAGTGCCCCGCGATTGGTGCCATTGGAAGGAATAGTGCCCTATTGTTGGTATCAGTAACAGTAATTATACCCTATTGTCGGTGTCATTAGAAGGAATAATACCTTGTAGCAGTGGATGGAATAGGGCCCCAATGGCCTGATAAAGGAAAGCAAAGGGCCACATCTGGCCCCTGGGACGCAGTTTGGAGACCACTGTTGTAGAAGGTGCACCAAAAAGATTTTATTTAGAGACTTTTGGTGTACCTCACCAAGGACTTCCCTCATATTGCGCCAGTCCTACCTGATGTAGTCTGCTGGACTTGGCTTTCATTTTTTTTTTTATCCAGCGGAGTCCAGCTTTGGGCTTCAGGGTTACTGAAAGAGGCTTCATATGAATAAAACCTACAAATAGCTGGGCAACGTCATTCATAAATACAGTGTAACACTATATTTACAAACACGAAAAAAAATTAAAACAACACTGACCAAAAGCAGTTTTTAGTTTAACTTTAAAACAATCCTGCTGATACCTTTATAAACACTAAAAAGTAATGTTAGGAAATTCTTTGTACAGTGACCCTTAATTCCTGGCACCAGACATACACTATATTGCCAAACGTATTGTCCCTGCCCTCCAAATAATTGGATTCAGGTGTTCCAATCCCCTCTATGATATAGGTGTATACAATCAAGCCCCTAGGCATGCAGACTGCTTCTACAAACATTGGTGAAAGAATGGGTCGCTCTCAGGAGCTCAGTGACTCCAAGCTTGGTCCCGTGATAGGTTGTCACCTATGCAATAAGTCCATCCGTGACATTTCCTGGCTACTAAATATTCCACGCTCAACTGTTAGTGGGATTATAACAAAGTGGAAGCAACTGGGAACAACAGCAACTCAGCCACCAAGTGGTAGGCCCACGTCACATGACAGAGCGGGGTCAGCACATGCTGAAGCGCACAGTGCGCAGATGTCGCCAACTGTCTGCAGAGTCAATAGCTAAAGACCTCCAAACTTGGTGTGGCCTTCAGATGAGCCCAACAACAGTGCGTAGAGAGCTTCATGGAATGGGTTTCCATGGCCGAGCAGCTGCATCCCAGCCATACATCACCAAGTGCAATGCAAAGCGTCAGATGAACTGGACTCTAGAGCAGTGGAGATGTGTGCTCTGGAGTGACCAATCACACTTCTCGGATGGATGTGTCTGGGTTTGGCATTTACCAGGAGAACAGTTCTTGCCTGACTGCAATGTGCCAAGTGTAAAGTTTGGTGGAGGGGGGATTATGGTGTGGGATTGTTTTTCAGGGGTTGGGCTTGGCCCCCTAGTTCCAGTGAAGGGAACTCTTAAAGCATCAGCATACCAAGACATTTTGGACAATTTCATGCTCCCAACTTTGTGGGAAGAGTTTGGGGATGGCCCCTTCTTGTTCCAACATGACTGCGCACCAGTGCACAAGACATGGAGGAGCAAGTTTGGGGTGGAGGAACTTGACTGGCCTGGGGTGCCATTAAAGTTCATATGCATGTAAAGGCAAGCGTCCCAATACTTTTGGCAATATAGTGTATAAAGAAGTGATAAATATGAACCTCATGGCCGTTCTTTGCAAAACCATTGCATAGAGCAGGTAAGTATAACGTGTTTGTTATTTAAAAAATAATAATTTTACCTTTACAATCATTTTATAGTTTGTTCCTCCATGTTTTCCATTCCCTTAGTATGCCCCCTATTTTTCATGTATTATTGCAGCCCTGTTTTCTCACTATGGAGAAATGGCTCCCAGCCATTCAACCTCCACGTGTAGTTACTGAAGGTGAAGGGCTGATGTTACCGCTCCCTTTGTGGGTGGGTACAGTCTCTGCAGTCCACCCACATGGGAGTTGGAAGTGGAAAAAGATCGGGATCGTGAGTTCAGCTTTAATTACTGGCACTAAACATACAGTGAAATGATAAATATGGAGCTAGGAGCCCCTTACCTTTACCACTGATGATAAGTCTGGTTCCTCCTCCATACTGAATTTCATCTTCATATTGGTTGTCACCTGCACACAGTTTGACCACCACAAAGCAGTGAAATGAAGTATTGTCTGCTTTCATCACATTCTTTATCATTAGATCAGTCATTCCTCTTATGCTTGTCCGATGTCTATATGTAGAATGGACCATTTCCCGGTAGGGGTGGTAGGCGTACGGTCCGGTTACATTCCCCACCCTCCAGTATACATTGACCCGCACAACATCTCTCTCTGTATACCGACCACTAGGAAGGGTGTAGGAGCAGATAAGGATCACTGAATGTCCTTCTTGTACTGGGATTTCATTAGCTGGCTGATCCCCAGGATGGTTGGTAATCTTAGAAGAAAAAGTTGAAGAAATAAACCAATCCACATACATGAAACAACAAAATCCAGGCCTGGGTTCACATAACAGGATCTAATCTCTAGATATGCTTTTCTCAGCCAGGGTTCCATAGATCTCTAGGGTTCCTCCAGAGGTTGAAAGGGATTCCTTCAGCAATGAGCAACTTCTTCCTCGGAGATAATTATCTACTGACAACAATGATCCTCTTAGTTTTCTGTAAGGAGGGGATGTTCCTATATGGCCACACATGTAAGGAGCATTCTCTCCAGTGACCATCACAGCAATGTACAGTGTAGATATATTAATTATTTGCAGAGTTTCTATGAGAACGGAAAGTTATTTCAAGGGGTCCTCCACCCTAAAAGGTCAAGAAAGGGCTGTTGTAGTTGTTGAGTGGCCTTGTACACTTATATCTTGCTGTGTGTGCCTATGTATTCCAAATAGACCAGGGTGTCTGTCACTTTGTTTAAAATCAGATTTAAAGGATAAGTTCACCTTTAAAAAAAATAATAATAAATGTGCATGCTTTTGCAGGTAAAAAAAAATGTGCATTTATTAATTTGTTTCTTAGGAGCTTGCAGAGCATTGCACCCACCATCAGCAGACCACGCAGCAGTGTATTTTGGTTTTGTGCTGCCCTAGGCAAGACTAAAATGGGGCACCCCACCCGCATCTAAATTTGCCCCATTCCTTCCTGTTTAAGATCCACCCCTTCATCTTTAGGCTCCATCTCTTCCTGTTAGAGCTCCGCCCACTGACAACAATGGGGGTGCTATTTTTCCCATTGACAACAACGATGGGACGCTATTCCTCCCACTGACACCAATGATGGGGCACTATTCCTCCCACTGACACCAATGATGGGGCACTATTCCTCCCACTGACACCAATGATGGGGCGCTATTCCTCCCACTGACACCAATGATGGGGCACTATTCCTCCCACTGACACCAATGATGGGGCACTATTCCTCTCACTGACACCAATGATGGGGTGCTATTCCTCCCACTGATACCAATGATGGGGCACAATTCCTCCTACTGACACCAATGATGGGGCACTATTCTTGCCAACTGATACCAACGAAGGTGTGCTATTCCTTTCACTGACACCAATGATGGGGCGCTATTCCTCCCACTGACACCAATGATAAGGCGCTATTCCCCCCACTGACACCAATGATGGGGCGCTATTCCTCCCACTAACACCAATGATGAGGTACTGTTCCTCCCACTGACACCAATGATGGGGCACTATTCCTCCCACTGACACCAATGATGGGGCACTGTTCCTCCCACTGACACCAATGATGGGGCACTATTCCTCCCACTGACACCAATGATGAGGCACTATTCCTCCCACTGACACCAACAATGATGCCCCATCATTAGTGTCAGTGTGAAAAGTGCTGCCCTAGGCAAACGCCTTGTTTGCCTCACAGCAAATATGCCCCTGAGACCAAGGGAGAAATGTCAGGCACCTGCAGACATAGCCTACAGCCTACTGCCTGTACCTCTGTACAGGCTTTTTGTTGAAAAGTTGTAGGATGTGTATCACCAGTGACCAGGGTTGCCAGTTAACCCCTTTAAAACCGAACACATACATTACACAGGCAGGGCGGACTGACAACTTTTGGGGCCCCGGGCAATAGGGGATCATGAGGCCCCTGTGTCCTTGCCCAAACTCAAAAAAGCCTATGAAAAAGATACCAGGGGTATCCCATGGGGCCCCCTACTGACCCCGGCCCCTGGGGCAGTGCCCGAGTTTCCAAATGGTCAGTCCACCCCTGTACAGATAAGGCACTAAGAGTTTATTTACCCCCTTTAATCATCCACAGAACCTGTGTAATTGATATGTTGTGAATGAGGCAACTGTACGGGCGGAGCCCCCACACAGCCGCCTTTTTTTTAGTTTGTGACAGTGGGTGTGGGAAGAAGAATGTCTGCTCAATGTCATAAGGGTCTAGGATCAGGGGGGATGGCCATTAATGTATAGTACCAAGCAGGGGCGGACTGACAACTCATGGGGCCCCCGGGAAATAGGGGATCATGGGGCCCCTGTGTCCTTGCCCAAAAACTCAAAAAAGCCTATGAAAAAGGTACCAGGGGCATCTCATGGGGCCCCCTACTGACCTCGGGCAGTGCCCAAGTCTCCAAATGGTCAGTCCGCCCCTGGTACTAAGTTACACCTTTCGTACAAGTGTAACATATAACATGTTACTAAAGATGAACTTATCCTTTAAATCCAATCACACACTAATGATATTTCAGACCAATTTTTTTTTGTCTTCTGAATCTGCAGCTTTTATTTGGATAATACCTGGTAATCCTGCTAAAAAGTCCTTGTTCATTCACTTCCTGTTATAGGATGACAACTTTCCCCAATTATGCCTCTGCATTGTCACTCTGCGCATCACACGTGCCTAGGCATGGTTAATCATTATCACTACTGGCAATGATGTGCAGCCCAGGGTGAGGCATGTAGACAGGATGAAATGTTTCTATGACTTGCTGCTTATTCTAGAGCAGTATAGACAGTGAGCCCCGATTCACACTGAATGCGGCCTTGAAATCGCGCTACTTTACTTGAATTAGTGCAATTTCAAAGCCACTGACCAGTGCGATTCCATGTGCAGCTTGCCTGACATCTGTGCGACTTCTCATACGCAGATGCCTATGCAAGTTGCACCTGAAATAGTCAAAAAATAGTGCCGGAACCTTTTTTCAAAGTCGAAGTTGCACCGATTTGAACGATTCCATAGGCGCTAATAGAGTGCGACTTGTCATGTGATTTTGAACTGTCAAATTGCATGATAAATCAAATTGGTGGGAACGTGGGGTACACAAATAATTTATTGGTGACATAAGAATATTCAAACCGAGATATTTTATTTATTTCAGGTACTTATATAGCGCCATCAATTTACGCAGCACTTTACATATATATTGAACATTCACATCAGTCCCTAACCCTCAAGGGGGGTACAATCTAAGGTCCCTAACTCACATTCATACATACACATGCTAGAGCCAATTTAGACAGGAGCTAATTCTCCTACCAGCATGTCTTTTGGAGTGTGGAAGGAAATCGGAGTACCCGGAGGAAACCCACGCAGGCAGAGGGAAAACATGCAAACTCCAGGCAGGTGGTGCCATGGTTGGGATGCAAACCAATGACCTGAGTATTGCCAGGTGGAAGTGCTAACTATTTTGCCACTGTCCGTTAATAAAACTTTCCCTTAAGAATATAAGGTTCTTAAGAGAGAGTTTTATTGACGCAATGTGAAAGCTTGTTATGGATCACTTAAAAAATACATTTCAGGTATGGATATTTTTATACATAGTTAGATTGATCCAGCTTGGACCAATGTAATTACAGTATGTATATACCATAACCGGTCAATGCTCCTGGAAGCTGTAAATCATTGTACTAGACATGGCCAATGCTCCAAATTTGGCCAATTTATCAAGAATCCGCTGAAATTTGAGCTGTGTACGGCCAGCTGTACTCTACATGTACAATGTGTAGATAAGGGCCGTCTGACTTTACTCTGACTTCTCACCGGCGTATTTATTCTGGTTTTGTGACCCCGAAAATACTGCTACCAACGGCTCAGAGATGGGATGGTCAGCAATGGCATCCTCTACTGTTCTCTGTGTTAGTACAATGTGTGCTATGGTTTACCTGCAATGATCAGACTTGTAAACTGTTTGCTTAGCAGTGATTGTTGTGCGATAAAGACAACGCAGCAATAACTTCGATGATCATTTAGATAAATATTATGTATACGCAGCGAGACGTCTTGGGTGAAATTGACCAGAGAGTACCGGCCCTCTTGATGTGCTCCATTTGTTTGGAGTATGGATGTATGACCACATATGCCAGGTTCTGCAATATACCAACTGACAAAGGTAATCTCCGTGGTGTCCTTGGAGTAATAACACGGGATGATGACCTCTTCTCCTGAAACAGCCATCAGTTCATCCAGCTGAGTGACGTATTCTGTATCTGAACAAAGAAAGTGTGAAAAGAAAGAAAAGAAAAGAAAAAGTATTAAAGGTTTGATTAATAAATGGATAGGCTATTTCAGAGCAACTACTGATTGAACCAGAAGGTGGATAACGTTCAGTCAAGGTAGGAAATTAGCAACAATGACATGTAAAGAGAGAGAGAAAGAGAGCGAGAGAGAAGGAGGGAGGGGGGGGGGGGGTGAGAGAGAGCGCGAGAGAGAGAGAGGGGGGGTGAGAGAGAGAGAAGGCGGCAGAGATAGAAGGAGAGAGAGAGTGAGAGAGAGAGATAGGGGTGGGGGAGAGAGGGAGAAAGAGAGAAAGAGAGAGATAAAGAGAGAGAAAGAAAGAAAGGAGGAAGGAAGATCCATTTTGCTGTAAAGCTTAAAGTGCAGCTCCACATAGAAGGGGAAGTTCCGCTTTTAAGACTGCTTCCCCCACTCCTTATTAAGGATTGGCACCTTTGGGGGGCAGGGGAGGAATGGGTACCCAAATTTGATAGGTACCCGCTCCCACTTCTGGTCTGATCACCTAGGCGATCGGAAGCGGAAGGTGTCCTCTCTTCCTCCCTGTAGTCCCTTGGAACACATGACAGGTCCCAGAAGACTACAGGACCATTCATGAAGCGCAGCACTACTCGCACATGCTCAGTGAGTACCTGGCTGTGAAGCCGCAAGCTGTCACAGCCGGGTGCGCACACTGAAGAAGCCGGCGCCCAAGGAGAGAAGACAGCCGGTAAAACGGACTGCGGGGGACACACCACCAAGGGACAGGTAAGTGGCTGTTTTTGTTTTGTTTTTGTAGCTGCTGACTTTTATTTTTTGACAGGGTGAGTGGAACTCCGCTTTAAGCTGAATATACACGTACAAAAGAGTAAAAGCAATGACTCCTCCTAAAAGCAGACCTTCACTCTCTCAGACAACATTGTCTATGTTTAATCCTTATGCTGCCAGCATTAGTGAATAGAAAGGAAGGTACATTGTATTTACTTCTAATATTTTTTTGTTGTTGTTTTTTAAATTTCTTTACTTACTTCCTAGTTTCTTTGCCTAGGCAAATGATGTCGTACATCCCAGGAGTCTTCAGGAAGGGGAGATGGGTTTTCTCAGCTAAGCACATCTTCCTGTCTGCATGCCTAAGCTAAAGGCAGATGGATTCCAGGAAGTAAATGCTACATGAATTATCTGCCCTTACTTAAGAAGGCCACTGACAGAACTGCTAGAGGGTGTTTTTCAAAGTGATTAATCAGCAAAATAAAGCATGGAGACATGGGTGGGTAAGTTTGCTTTAAATATTAAAAAATGAATTACCACTTGCTAACTGCATCACTTACATGTGCAAGGCTGCTCTCCTGCTCTGGGTCACATACCTAGTATGTCATCCAGGTAGGGGGCACACGCATGTCACCTACCGCCCTGTCTGTGGTGTGGTTAGACACAGCACAAGCCGATCATGGGGAATGCGGTGATCAGCAAAGAGGCTGACAGGACAGAGCTCTGTGTTTGTAAACAACACAGAGCTCTTCCCTATCAGCGGGGCTAAGCCAATTTTTATTTGTCGGCAAACAAGGGAATAAATACCAGCTTATTCACTAGTAAAAGTACACACCAAGCACTGTGAGCCACACACTTAACCCTTTGATCACCCCAGATGGTAACCCCTTCCCAGCCAGTGTCATTAGTACAGTGACAGTGTATATTATTAGCACTGATCACTGTATTAGTGTCACTGGTTCCCATAAAGTGTCAGATTGACTGCCATGCTATTGCAGTCCTGCTATAAGTCACTGATCGCTGCCATACTAGTATAAAAAAAAATTAAAAAATTTAAATTCCAGGCTACTGTATGTCCCATAGTTTGTAGATGCTATAACACAAACCAATCAATGGGATTTTTTTTTTACCAAAAATATATATAGCAGAATACATTTTGACCTAAATTAATAAAAAAATTTGATTCATACTTTTTTTTTATTTGAGAAAGTAAAAAATATTGTTTATAGCACAAAAAATAAAGACCTCAGTAGGGATCAAATACCACCAATAGAAAGGTCTATTTGTGTGAAAAAAATGATATAATCACTATTGTTTTTATTTTTTTTTGCGCTATAAATGAAAAAGACTGCACATTTTGAAAAAAAAGTGTTTTTTTTTCCTAGTTTCTGTTAAAAAAATGTAGCAAAAAAAGTAATTTTTCTTCGTAAGTTTTAATCAAAAATTATACTGCTACATTTCTTTGGTAAAAAATAACCTAAATCAGTGTATATTATTTGGTCTGTGAGAACATTAAACAGTCTACAAGCTATGCTACCAGTATTTCTCACACATGGCATAGACATACTTGCAACTACATCCCAAAACATATTCTACTACTCCTCCTGAGTATGGCGATACCACATGTGTGAGAACATGTGGCTGAAGGGTGTTCCAAGATGGCGCCGTGCCGGAAGTGCGTCACCACGTATTGCCGTCGACGCGTTGCGTCACGTGACCTCGTGAGTCCTGAGGAAGTCACGAGGTCACGTGACGCAACGCGTCGACGGCAATACGTGGTGACGCACTTCCGGCGCGGCGCCATCTTGGAACACCCTTCAGCCACATGTTTACACCCATGGTATGGGAACAAGCTGTATTTCATCTTGCTGATGATCTTACATCTTGCTGATGTAAGTGTGCATTTGACTCAGTTTTCAAGCAGTATTAAAGCGGTTTTACACTATGGAGGATGTCTTCTTCTTTTATCCTATTGGGATCTGAGTTGGGATCCATCCTGCTCATCTGACCATTAAGGATATTATAGGAGAGGTGGAATCAGTGTACTGGGGACATATCTTCAAGTCATCTACTCAAGAGCAAGGTTATCTTGATCCAGTGGTGATATTATATGCTCTGTGGCCCTGCAGGGTCGCTGATAGGAGGTCAGAGGCCATTTCAGCCGGTTTTGGATTGCACTTCGGGGTGTGTGGGATCATACACAGTCCATTGATTTTGCATGAGCGGAAGGAATGTGATACGGACCACTGGACTTTTTTATATGTGCACTGTGTGCAGTGGTTTCACATGTGCTTAAGATCTCGCATATCTAGCTCCATTACGCACTAATTTTTCCTTTCACATACTAAGGAGTGTGTTGTTTTGTTGTACTGACCATGTGCTTAGTATGATTTATTAATTTTATCAGATCATTTATTTATTCCTTGTTTAGCGCTACATCATTTTTTGCTTTATTTGTACACTTCATTAGATCTATTGGTACAGGATCAGATGTTAGCAGTTACAGGTGCATATTCACTGATCATTTAACATAAGAGCGCAAGTAGACTTTGTACATTAATAGTTAGGAAACCGTCAGGCACCTCTGAAGGTGTTCAGTGGCTTCCCAGCAATGCCAATGATCCCCTATTGTCCCCAATCCAATGTAAAGAAAAAAGTGTTGTGTGCTTAATTAACCTTCCAAAAAAGTGCTGCTATGATCGAAGGTGATCCTCAGAGATGTTTTTGTGCACTTGTACACTGTGATGGATGTTGATTGCCCATCGGTGGACACAGACAGATGTTGATGTTGCAGTGGAACACTATTGCAGATGTTCTGTGCACTGGTACACCGTGACAGACGTTGATGTGACACTGGTACACTCTGACAGGTGTTTTGTGCCCTGGTACACTGTGACAGATGTTGATGTGACACTAGTATACTTTGACAGATGTTGATTGGACACTGGTACACTGTGACAGATGTTGATGTGACACTGGTACACTCTGACAGATGTTGATGTGACACTGGTACACTGTGACAGATGTTGATGTGACACTGGTACACTCTGACAGATGTTGATGTGACACTGGTACACTCTGACAGATGTTGATGTGACACTGGTACACTGTGACAGATGTTGATGTGACACTGGTGCACTGTGACAGATGTTGACGTGACACTAGTATATCGTGCCAGATGTCGATGTTACACTGGTACCGTGACAGATGTTGACATGACTGGAAGGGCCAATCACAGCACCCATGCCCCGTTCTGTGATGTGTTGTGGCCAAGGGACACAGCCATCACAGGATCGTGCCGCGGCGTGGCCCTGAGGACACGTGCAGCTCATGTTCTGAGAAAACGTACAGGAATATCCTCTCAGAACATGAAAGCTCCCACCCGGCCACTGCACATAAACGTAGTTAAATAACGTTTTAGATTTGTGGCGCTCAGAGGCAGAGTACTTCCACTTTAAGCTGTAGTAAGTTTCAGCTGGAAATAGATTCTGCTGGTCTCTCTCTCTTTAGGAAAGGCAGGTTCCTGTTTCTTTGTAAAGAAAATGTTGCGCACATATGTAGGGACCTTGCCTTAAAGAGACCCTGTCACCAGACCATTTATTTTAAATAACAAACATCCCATAAGATCATATGTCAATTTAATGCATTTTAGGCGTAGTACTCACCTGTAAAATCACCAGTCTTCTGCTGGGCTCCACCATATGATATCAGCGTTCCCAGCAGACTCAGGTGACACCTTTTCTTGGCTGTTATATAAAAGCTATGAAGAGAGGTGAAGGGAGGAGCAGAGAAGCTGGCCCAGCACAGACAGTACTTAGACACTCGCAAAAGAAGAAAGGGCTATGACATGATAGATTGCATCTCTGCATCCTGTCTTGTTGCTAGGGTGTTGCTAAGACACACCCAGTGTTTACTGTACACCTACACCATTACAAGAGTAAGTTCTCCAACGCTGAGCTCAGGCCTACTGCATCAAGAAAGAGAAAATCTATGTGAGGGGTTTGCATCAGAGAAAAAGGTTGCTCTTGTGATGGTGGTTGTGAACAGTAACAGCTGTTTGTGCCTCAGCAACATCCTAGCAACAAGACAGGACAGGAACATGGCGCCTGTAGGAAATTTTCTGTCAGGCTTCATGAGGTATGTAAATGGCCTACACCTATAGTATGGGCATTATTAAACTGGTCAAAGCTGTACAGCTTGTTTTTTTTATCTGCAGCGCCCCTTACCTGCATAGACATTTGTTTGGTAAAGGTGAACTATGCGTTTACGTCTCCATACACACGGGGTGTTTTTTTGGTAACGCTGGTAACATTAGCTGTGTAAAGTCACGTTAAAAACTTGAGTTTTTCAGCGTTTTTGCATTAGCGTTTTGCCGCGTTTTTCTCCTTTGCATTTTTTAGCTTTTTTTGGGGTAAAAAAAGTCCAAAAACGCTGGTTTGCCGTGATTTACCACATTTTGACGTGTTTTTTCAGTGTTAGAGTGTTTTTACAGCTAAAAAGCTCCTCCAGAAACCCACCAGTTCTGTGTTTTTTTCCAGCCAAAAAACGCCCCTTCCGAAAAACGTTGATTACAGTCTATGTGTGCATGGACACATAGGATAACATGCTGGGGATGGACACATAGGATAACATGCTGGGGATGGACACATAGGATAAAATGCCGGGGATGGACACATAGGATAACATGCCGGGGATGGACACATAGGATAACATGCCGGGGATGGACACATAGGATAACATGCCGGGGATGGACACGTAGGATAACATGCCAGGAATGGACACATAGGATAACATGCCGGGGATGGACACATAGGATAACATGCCGGGGATGGACACATAGGATAACATGCCGGGGATGGACACATAGGATAACATGCCGGGGATGGACACACAGGATAACATGCCGGGGATGGACACATAGGATAACATGCCGTGGATGGACACATAGGAGAACATGCCGGGGATGGACACATAGGATAACATGCCGGGGATGGACACATAGGGTAAACATGCCGGGGATGGACACGTAGGAGAACCAACAGATGGGCCTATGTTTTGCTGCCTACTATACAATACTAAATATAAATCTACATGGTGGAATACATATGGGACTCTTCTGCAATTTACAGGTAGGACACACGGGATAACATGCCGGGGATGGACACATAGGATAACATGCCGGGGATGGACACATAGGATAACATGCCGGGGATGGACACGTAGGATAACATGCCGGGGATGGACACGTAGGATAACATGCCGGGGATGGACACGTAGGATAACATGCCGGCGATGGTCACATAGGATAACATGCCGGGGATGGACACACAGGATAACATGCCGGGGATGGACACATAGGATAACATGCCGGGGATGGACACACAGGATAACATGCCGGGGATGGACACATAGGATAACATGCCGTGGATGGACACATAGGAGAACATGCCGGGGATGGACACATAGGATAACATGCCGGGGATGGACACATAGGGTAACATGCCGGGGATGGACACATAGGGTAACATGCCGGGGATGGACACATGGGATAACACGCCGGGGATGGACACACAGGATAACATGCCGGGGATGGACACATAGGAGAACACGCCAGGGATGGACACATAGGATAACATGCCGGGGATGGACACACAGGATAACATACTGGGGATGGACACACAGGATAACATGCCGGGGATGGACACATAGGAGAACATGCTGGGGATGGACACATAGGATAACACGCCGGGGATGGACACATAGGATAACGTGCCGGGGATGGACACATAGGATAACATGCTGGGGATGGACACATAGGATAACATGCTGGGGATGGACACATAGGATAACATGCTGGGGGGTTTACTGGCTGTAGAAAAACGTCAAAAGCCAAAAACAGCCGCTGTAAAAAGGGCTCAGTGTACACCCGTGCAAAGGCTGTGTTTGACGCAAGGGGATGCACAAGTGTCCTGTGCACCCCTATGCGGGCAGTACAGTGCATGTTAATTGGGACACAGAGCCTCCATGTACTAGGTCACTGCTCCCAATTTAACAGCTGCAGGTTGGTACCAGTATTTGCGAACCTTAAGTGCAGAAAAAAAAATTGCATGAGATCTCCCCAAATTCTATAGCAGACCCTTGCTGTGTTTGAGTCCTCTTGCACATAGGACATTTTTACAGCGGCAGTTTTTGGCTTTTTACATTTTTTTCTACACCCAGCAAACCCCCCGGCATGTTATCCTATGTATCCATACACACATAAACTGTAATCAACGTTTTTTGGTTGGGACATTTTTTGGAAAAAAAAAACAAAACTAGTGGGTTTCTAGAGGAGGTTTTTAGCTGTAAAAATTCTCTAATGCTGAAAAACTCTGAAAACCATGGCAAAACGCCACAAACCAGCATTTTTGGACTTTTTTTTGACCCAAAAAAATGTTTTTGGGTCAAAAAAAACCCCCTAAAAACACAAACCTGGAAAAACGTGGGAAAACGCCGCTAGACGCTAATGCAAACACACTACAAAAAGCGGAAAAACTCACGTTGTTAACGTGACTTTACACAGCTAACTTTACCAGCGTTATCAAAATGTCCCGCGTGCGTGAGGGCTTATGGGTACATGATCAGCTACAAGCTCCAACAGTTTCAACGTGGCAGCCAACACAATTGCAGAGAGTGTCTATGACATCCTTTTATGAACCCCCTTTAGATTCTGACATTTCCCAAAAGTTTTTGGCAGTTGAAGGTAACTGAATAAACATTTACCTGTAAATTGCAGAAGAGTCCCATATGTATTCCACCTAATTGTAGATTTATGTTTACTATTGTACTGTAGGCAGCAAAACGTAGGCCCATCTGTTGGTTCCAGTCCTGTAATTGTGATAGATTCTGTCCTGTTCCTGTTGGGATCCTTCTCTCTGTAGAGTCTTCCTTTATATTTCTCTGTATAATCTCCCGGAGGGGAGAGGATCTTCTTGGCAGATATGCAATAAAGTCCATCTCCCTCTCCCCAAACGATCTGTCTATCTTCACCCAGCTCCAGATCGGAGTATGAACACAAAATGGTAACAGAACCTCCAGGTTGCACTGTTTGAGTTCTCAGCTGATAAATACACTTTGAAGATCTTGTGATCCCTGAAGGAGCAAATAGGGCAACATTTTAATATCAATGTGTAAAAAAACATCTGTAGTCTTGTCAATGATTTTTTTTTTAGATGTACATGTAGAAGAGATCTTCTGAATGTAAATTAGTGATCAGTATGTGGCAATTCTAAGATTCAAAATCTTTTGTACAGTTTGTAATGATATATGTATATAGAGACAGCCATATTTGTTCATTGTAGGAGATGGTATCAAAAAGTTTCGACACTAGTTTTGTAACACTCCAACAGATGGCAGCACAAGGCTGCACACACAGTCTCAGGGATTACCAACCTTCATAAGTCAGTGTGCCAAAAGACATCACCCTGTGTACATCAGGAGCTGTGCAACTGGTGCTATTCTGACTATGTGTGTTATCACGTCTGCTATTTCATTGTGGAAAGCAAGTTAGGAAATGTGAAATTCAGCATGAAACTGGGAAATTTGCCACAGAGACGTTTGACATGATTTGGCAAGTTTACAGGGATGCTGTAATGAGTGGTTCAAGTTTTGAGTGGCACACGCATTTCAAGAGTGGAAGAACATCAATGGAAGATGATGAGAGATCAGGAAGACCATCAACAAGCTCAACCCCCAAAAATGTCAAAACCATTCAGTAACTTGTGCATGACTGTCAGGGCTCCCGGGTATGACCAGAGGTGTGTGACTGACGCAGGGAAACGCAGACTTCAGATATGTTATAAACAATATAATTTATTAACACTAACAATACAAACATAAACGCAGTGCAATACTAAAACATAACACAGTGCAAACAAACCAAACCACCCACAGATACATACAATACATACAATGCAAGCGTCGTCAGGCAGGCCGGGTCAATATCAATCGGGCAGGTAGGTACAGGGGGAGCAAGCGGAGAATGGTCGGGGTCACAAGCCAGGTTCAGCAGGTAGCGGGCAGCGTGGTACAGAGGGTCAGGCAGAGGGATGGTCAGGAACGAGCCGGGGTCCGAGCAGGAGAAGTCAGCAGAGGTCCAGATCAGGCAGGGTCAGCAACAAGACAGGAACAGGATGCAGGAACAGGATACAGGGCCCAGGAAAACCACACACCCAAGGCAGAGTCTGCAGGTCTGGCCATCCCTTAAATACACCAATATAAGCAGTTTCAGGTGTTTGGCTGGCTGCAAGGTTGAGTCTCTGATTGCTGGGAGCACC